CCCCCTCCTCCGGAGGCGCCCCCGGCGTCTGACCCCGCCCCCGGAGCCAGCGGGATCGGCCCCTTTGGGGCTCCCTGCGCTGCCCCCTCCCCCGGACCATGCGAGGAGCCAAGTTGCTAACATTCCCCAACCCCTCCCTCTTGCAGCGGGGCTGTTTCCATGCGAGAGTAAGGGGGTGGGGGGAGCATCCTGAGTCAGTCTGTCTGTCCCCGGCTTTGGATGCTCATGGGACTGAGATGTGTGCCCAGTTCCTTGCTGGTGGTCGTGTTTGTTAAGGGGTTCTGGGCCTGGGGGGGAGCATCCTGAGTCAGTCTGTCTGTCCCCGGCTTTGGATGCTCATGGGACTGAGATGTGTGCCCAGTTCCTTGCTGGTGGTCGTGTTTGTTAAGGGGTTCTGGGCCTGCCCCTCCCTCTGGTGATGATTTTGGGCTCTTTCAATCACAGACACGTCTGCAGTAGAAGTGAGCAGGGATCTTGCAACGCTAGGCTGTGTGGGTGACAAAGCACCATAGCTGGTGCCTCCAGGAAATTACACTGAATAGGCCGGTTACCAGTGATGGGAGCAAATGAGATTTGCTTTTCACACATGCACATTTTAACCAAGTTAATCCAATAAGATCTATGGCTGCCTATGTAATAGGACCTGTGGGCCAACATGACACATAGTTGGTGCCACCAGCCCTGCCTATAATCTCTGTCTAGCTTTAGATAATTATCCTAGTCTACAGATAGAGGCTAAAGCACAGAGAGGTGGTGTGATTAACCCAAAGTAATGCATTAGTGATAGTGCTGGAAATAGAACTGCAAATCCTGGTTTTTGAACCTGTGCAGCCTAGACCAGAGCTATAACCACTGCATAATACTGTCTCTCAATGCTGCACATCAGTTTAGGTACAGAGAAGATTTCTATGGTCCAAACTAGGCCATCCCCCTAGCCACAGCCATTAAAGCAGGGGTGAGGGATCTTTTTTGGGTTGGGGGCTGCCGATCCACAGAAAAATCAGTTGGGACCTGCATACAAGTGAGAAGCAAAAAAACCCCCAAACCAAACCTAACCAAAACAACCCCTCACTAACATGCCCCTGACTGAGAAGGAGGACACTCCCCACATGCCCTTTGCACACCAGAGACTAGGGGGGCCCAGGCTAGTAGATTTTGTGTGCTCCAGCCCCACAAGGGTGGCAGGAGGGGCTGGAGTATCAGTGTGAGCGCCCCAATACTTCGGGGGTGGGGAGCCCAGAGCCTCAGGGGTTGGATCCAGGCAAGCTGGAGGCCACATCTGGCCCCTGGGCCTTAGTTTCCCCACCCCTGCATTGCAGGATTGTTCCCTATCATGGATTTGCCCAGAGTTTGTCTGGTTACATATTCAAGGTTCCAAACAATGAGGTTTCCACCCCTTTCCTTGGAAGAGAGTTGGTCTTATCACTAAAACAGTTCCCTGGAAATTCAGCCTGTTTTGTTTTTCTCAGAAGCCTCCATAAATCCTAGTTCCTCTGTCTTGGATGCATCACTTTCCTTTCTGAGGGTTTACACCCTTCTGATGCCCATTGGCAGTTAATGCCAAAAGGAAAGCATGGGACCTAACATGGAAGAGGGAAAAGCTAATGACACCTGAAACCCACTTGGAAGATCTCTATGCCAGTCTAATTTTCCTGGGAAGCACTTGGGCCCAGAGCCTGAAAGATATTTAGGCTTCTAATTTCCATCAGTCAATCAAGGGAAGCCAATGTAAATTAGGAGCCTAAATACTTTTGAAGATCTGGTTCCTAGATACCATAGTGAGGGGTGCTAGGGAAACCCTAGATTAGATTGCTTACAAAACTCTAGCAACTTCCCTCTACCATCCTGCAGCTGTTGCATTAGGTCGCTGAGAGCCTGTGTTACAGTAATTCATACCAGCCAGTCAGGCATTTACTTCCAGAACCCACAATGTATAAACAAATGTAGAAAGAGCACGCAAAGAGGGGGTGGAGGGAGAAGGGGAGGGCGGAGGGCAAGTGCAGGAAGTCACTGGAACTGTCAGTAATTTAAGGTCAAAGTTTTCCTCTAGCTTGTGATCAATTTCACTCTCTGGATCACTGTCTCTGCCCTTTAGACTGTTCTGTCCTTTTACATCCTGGTTCTGCTTGGATGTGTCTGCAGCTGACATTCCTCTCACCTTGGGTGCATGGGGAGACAATCTTGATGTCCCAGCTCTGGGACACAGCCTTGCTGAGCTCTTGACTACAGCCTGGATTGTCAATCCTCAACGAGGAGCAGCCTGTGCAAGCTCCTCTCACCATCATGTCCAGCAAATCCTGCAGCATAGCAGTGGATGAGCCAACTGGTTCGAGGAATGGCCAGATGGCAGAAGAACAGGAAATTCTGGGATCTTAAGAGTGTGCTGTCTCCCACTGTCTGATGCAGTAACTGGGAATTCCTACCTTCCTCTGCCGCAGCCAACAGCACATGCCCAGGCCTTTCAGGGGATTCTCATTACTGGTGTCTTCCAGAGCATGGCTTCCAATCACTGAGCACAAGGGGAGCTTCCTAAGAAGCTCTTGGGAAATCCGATCCATGAGTCAATAAGTCCAATAAATGCACAAGGGTGACCTCCTTTTCCCTCCTGCCCCTGAATTTATACGCTAATAGGCGTTCCCTATTGGCTCTGGTCACTCACCTCCTCAAGTGTCCTTGCTTTGTGCAATTCCCCTGTACCAAGTGCTAGCCCCACTGTGGTGGATGACATTGTGTTGCTGGAATCTACTCTCCTGAGTGCTGAGAGTTGGCTAAGGCCCCAAATGTGTGCATATGATTCACGATGGGAAGCAAACCCATAGCTCGCAGTCTTGTCTTAAAAAGCACCTCAACCAGCCCAGTTCTGGATTGATTTATGGCTCGACTTTAGTAGTGATGAGAGAGACTGGACAGTCAGCCCCTGAGGGCTGATGGCTTCTATTGATCCCTTTAAAGACAGAGCCCAGACATATGAACTCCCCACTAAGCATACACACACTACAGGAACCCACTCCACCCAGCAAGATGTTCCATTCTTGACCTGGCAGGACCCATTCTGACATGTGTGGAAAATTAGATCTCTATCTCCTATCTGCTCCTTGGCTTTTACTCCACCTAGAGACAAAGTTAACAATGGGTTTTGCTAGGTAGACACTTTTCCATCCACAAACTCATTGCACACATGGGCCGTCCAACAGCTACTGGAGGATAACATTCCTCCACTGCTAGCCTGAGCTCAGCTGGAACCAGAAACCTCAGAGCCTTCCTACGACCAATCCACTGAGCTTGTCAGCATTTGCCTTTGGCTATCAGTGTGGTTGATCTTCTGCAGCATCTCTGTTTCTGGTTGACTGTTGTGCCAAATTTAACTCCCTTGTCTCACCCTTGTTCTGCAGAACAAAGTGAGACTGGTGGGCTATCAAACCCACACAGTCTGGCCAGGACCAGCCACACAACTGTGACCACCTGTCTCAAGGACCTTTCATTCTCAGGTCACTTGTTTGTGTTAGCCCAGGCAGACAGTGACATGAGGTATCAAATGTGGCTGGGGTGGCGGGATGTGCCTCAGTCCATTTCAGACAAGGTATCCACATCCTAGAGCACACCGCCACAGCTGAGGGACTGGCAGCAAAGCCAAGAACTGAACAGGCCTTAAAGATGGAAATCCCCTCCCACTCTGCAGGTCAGCGTTGAACACAGCCCACACACTGCCTCTGCTGATCAGCACCTGCCACTGGTGCTAGCTTCACCCCGTATGACTAAACAGCTCCCTGGTAGGATGTCAGTCCCAGACGTGCCTGGTTCAGTGAACGGGGCCAATTAACCATGTGATTGGATTGTTGAAGCCAACTGGGAGAGGTGCTATGGCAGTCATAAAGACACAAAGCTTTTGGTAAAAGAAAGCTGCAGGTGGGAACTCTGCAGTCATTCCTTAGGGACGGAGGACTTGACAACTGGCAAAGGGAGAGTCAGCCCTGAGATCCTGCCTTGGGATACACACACTGGCAAAAACCTGAGAGTAACGAGCTAGCTATAGGGAGCAGAGGAAGCTCCACTGTTAACCTAAAGAGAGGATGGAAAGGTAGGGATTTGCCCAGGGAAGCGTGTGAACCCTGGGCACAGGGTCTGTGGCCTGGAGGATGCTGGAGTAGAAGACGAACCCACATTCCCCTCCCTGCCACTGGGGAAAACTATAGTCATGTAGCCAGAGGGCAAAGCCATTAATAGGGATTAACTTGACCCCAGAGAGAGACCATCCCCAGGTGAGAAACCAAACGAGTTGAGTAGGCATCAGGCTGGTCCTGAGCTAATTCCTGGATGGGTCACAAGGCAGCTCCACAGCAAAGCAAATCCTGTGACAAGCCCCCCAACCTCACATCAAGTTATTAATGTTTGTTGTAGTGACCCCTGTCAGGATTGGGGACCTACTTGGCTGGGCCCTGTACAAACACAGACTGCCCCAGAGAGCTTATGCTCTAGGACTGAGCCAGAACCCTTTAGCTCTTCAAGCGGATGCTCTTTAAACTCAGCTACTTCTTTGCTTTCAGCTCGGGGGCTGCCAGACCTCTCTGGGCTCAGTGGGCCAAACAAGGAAGACGAGTGCTGGTTTGGTTCCCTCTCAGCCATAAGGGAATCTCCCAGCTTGGCTTGTACAACAATGGGATTTCCCAAGAATAGGGCTCAGCCCTAGGACCAGGCAGTAAAGGCTCAGAGTGTGGAATGCTGCTCCCTTTGCACCATCCTGCTCACCTTGCGAGGCAGCAGCAATTACGACCCTAGCCGTGGGCTAGAAGGGAAGAAGGAGGGAGAGGATCTGGCTGGGAGTTGTAGGCTGGGGACTGAGAGCAGACCAGAATGTTGGCAACTCAGTCTCTCCAAGGGTCTCAGCATCAATTTGCTTTGCAGCCATGACAGGATTCTTCCAGCTGATCGACTGAACAGTGAGCCCCCTCCTGGTGCTGTCTGTTCTGCCTGCTGGGATTTGCTGGGATTCTCAGGCTTTGGGAGGGTGTGATCTTTTAAGAACCTTGACCAGCTAGGGGTTCTGTCATTGCCTGCCCTCCAACTCTGAGGGCCTTTCTGCTGTGCAGATCCCTGACCCCAGGAGAGAGCCAATAAGGACCAAGGTTACCCACTTAGTTACTCTTTGCGGCATGACACCAACAGTTCACCCAGTCCTGGGGCTTCTCACATCCTTCCTGAGTTCTTAATTACCAGACTCTTGGACTGTGCATCACTTCCCACAGGTCCCCTTATCAGCTGTCTCTGGTGCCTTTACTCCACACAGTCTGTACACCAGAGACCTGCCTGGGGTAAAAATACATCTGCCACAGAAAAACCACAGACTGAAAGGTAGACTAGTGAAGGAGACATGCCAGTTATGCAGAAAATAATTATGAAGACTTGGCCTAAGGCTTTACACTTCTGTGTTAGATAAAAGGCCCTTTTCTAATGAAAGTTACCCATTACCTTAAAAGCGATCCCCAGTATGTCCAGTCTCTATAGGAGGGATCTAGTGTTCATGGATAGCCTCCTTCCTCAAGTGTCCCCCAAGTTGTTGGTGATCTTCAGTTCAAACCCTTTCCATTTTAAAAAAGATATGCAGTTTTTTCTATCCGTCGCAATAGATATTAAATGTGGGGGAAATTCCCTCCCTGTCTTAGTTTTTGAAAACCTTGTATTCCCCAGCTTCATGCTGTGCCTTTGATGGTGCCTCGTTAATTTTTTTTTCTGGATTGGCCAGTGACTTGGTGCTTCAAGCCAGTCTCATCTGGTTGGGGAGGTAGCCCCTGCTTGCTTGCTTGCTTCCCTGCCCTCTTGTGAGGCGATGCTAAAGTCCCATGGTCTCTACTCAGTGGTCACCACAGTAGATCAGGATCTACTGGTAGATCCTGGAGCCTCTGACAGGTGATCCTGACTGGTTTGGCTGGGAAGCTATTTTCAGCTGTGTCTCGCCCCGCTGCTCCTGCCCTCTGTCTTGGAACTGCCCCCAGGAACTTCGTGCTTGCTGTGCAGGGTGGAAGAAGTGGAAGAATGGGGTGCTGATGTCAGGATGTCATCCTCCCCCTTTTCATGTTCCCCATCTCCACAGAGTGAGCAGGGCGGAGCCTCAGGGAAGGGGTGGGGCAGGGCGGTGCCTCAAAGAAGGGGCAGGGAAGGAGGCGGGGCAAGGGTATTTGGGTCTGAGAGAGATCCTAAATTGCCATAAATTCAAAAAGTGATCGTAAACTGTATATACAGTATATGCACACACAGACATGCATTCATAAGCATAACCCGTGTGCATAGCTCCTAATGACTGCTATGAGCAGCGCATCACACATTTCTATAAAAGATATTACCTGAGAAACTCATATACAGCAAAATAACATGGTATGCTGACAGTTGGTTTAACTCCGTATTTTGGGGAGTTTAAGCTATTTGTTCTCCCCTTCTGGTGTCTGGTCCCTCATTGTCACAGAAGGAGTGTAGTTTGTTATAGAAGGGGCCTGGGAGTCAGGAGAACTGGCTTCCTTTACTGATTTTTCCACTGACTCATGATCTTGGGTACATTCCTTCCTCTTTCCATGCCTCAGTTTCCCCTGCTGTAACAGTGGGGTAATGCTTTCACTTTCCTGTTCATCTCCCAAGAGGTTATATAGGTTGCGCAATTAACAGGTGTAAAAATCATCTGAGAGCCTTGAATAGAGATTTCTAAAAAGAGTGAAAGGGGGAAACAGACAAAGTCATCCAGTGAATCAGGAATAGAACCCAGGAATTCTGGCTCCTAATCCCCTGTTCTAACTATTACAGTCCCACACATGGGACACTGTCAAGATCAACAGTAGAGGAAGTTTTTTGTATGTGTTTCTCTTATCTCTTTAGAGGATGCAGAGGGAAGAGCTTTAACCATGAACATTGCTCACCCTCTCCAGCTGTTTAATTGCCTTTTTGCCATTCACTGAACTATTTACAGGGGTTAATTTCCCTTTCTTTTCCTGGCTAGTTGCATTTTCCAGTCCCCAGACTATGGTATATTTGTGTTCCAGCATTTCAGCAGAATGTTTCAATCCAGATCAAGCAACATTTAAAAAAGACAGGGAAATATTTCTATTTTTTTTTATAGATTTAAACCAACCAACCCCAAATCCTAGTTCTGGGCCAAAAAAATGCTTTCAGCTTCCTTTACAAATGACGGAGCTAGTATTTCTAGTACAAACAGCCAGGGAAAATTCTCCTGTCTAGACGCTAGGGGTCAGTATCACTACACACTGCTGCTATCTAGCCTGTAATGTGAATACACAGCGTTGCTGGTCGCTGGGGAGTAGAA